TTTCATAGCTATGTTTTCTTCATTCTAATCCAGATTCATGCAGTGCATTTACACATTTAGGGTTGCTGTGATTTCTTGGCGAATCGATCTGTTTAACATTATGGAATGTTCCTCAAATTCATGTTTTAAAAGTTATTATATATTTTTATTGAATTTAGAAGCTCCGTATTACTCCAGATGCAAGTTCTTTGTCAAAATTATGTATTGCCAATATTGTTTTCTGATATATGGCTTGTCTATTCATTTTCTTTCTTTCTTTTTTACAATGGCATACTAAATTATATTTTATTTTATTATTTTATTTTTTAAAATTTTATCATGTTATGTTAGTCACCATACATTACATCATTAGTTTTTGATGTAGTGTTCCATGATTCATTGTTTCTGAATAACACCCAGTGCTCCATTCAATACATGCCCTCTTTAATACCCATCACCAGGCTAACCCATCCCCCGACCCCCTCCCCTCTAAAACCCTCAGTTTGTTTCTCAGAGTCCGTAGTCTCTCATGGTTCATCTCTCCCTCTGATTTCCACCCCCCTTCATTTTTCCTTTCCTACTATCTTCTTTTTATTTTTAAACATATAATGTCTATTCATTTTCTTGATAGTATTTTATTTTTTTAAGTTTTTTAATTTATTTGAGAGAGAGAGAGAACTCAAGTGTAGGGAGGAGCAGAGGGAGAGGGACAAGTAGACTTTGTGCTCACGGGGCTCAATCTCTTGACCTGAGCTGAAATCAAGAGTCGAATACTTAACAGACTGAGCCACTGAGGTGCCCGATAGTATCTTATTTTAAAGTTTTTATTTTAAATTCCAGTTAATATTCTTGATAGTATCTTTTGATGAGAAGTAGTTTTAACATGATAAAGCTAAGGACTTTTGCTTTATCATATATATTTTAGAAAGACCTCATCAGTTTCTGCAAAACACCTGCTGGGATTATAATTGAAATTGTGTTGACTCACTAGATCAATTTAGATATAACTGACATCTTAACAACATCATTTCCAATACCTGAACATGATATATTGCTCTATTTATTTAGGTCTTCCTTAATCTCAGCATTATTTTTTTTAAAGATTTTATGTATGTATGTATGTATGTATGTATGTATGTATGTATGTATGTATTTAGAGCACAAGCAGGGGAGGGGCAGAGGGAGAGACAGAATGTCCAGCAGACTCTGTGCAGAGCGTGGATCCTGATAGGGAGCTCAGTCTTATGACCCTGAGATCATGACCTGAGCTGAAATCAAGAGTCAGTGGCTTAACTGACTGAATCACCCAGGCTCCCCAATCTCAGCATTATTTTAAGTTCTCTTTGTAGTTAGCTCATATGTCTTTTGTTAAATACATTTGTAATTGTTAATTTTTTGATGCTATTGTGATACTAAAAAAATTTTTCCCTATGGTTTGCTGCTAGTATATTTGTCTTATTTTTGTATGTTGATTTTCTACTCAGAGGCCTTACTGAATTCGTTTAGGATCTAAGGATTTTCTACCTAATTAGTGATATAATCTGTGAATAGAGACTGTTTTACTTCTTTCCTTTCAAACTTTATGATTTGTATTTCCTATTTATACCTTTTTTCTCTGCTTAAGACCTCCATAAAATTGAATAGATGTGGTGAGAGTGGATAGCCTTGTCTTATTCTTGAGTTGGGGAGAAAGTATTCGGTATTTCACAATGACATATGATGTTAGGTGTCTTAGATTCCCCTCATTAAGTTAAAAAAAGTTTCTTTCTGTTTCTGCATTTAGAAATTGCACGTTTATTACATACATGGATGTTGATTCTTGTTAAATGCTCTTTTTACCATCAATTTAAATGGTCTTCTTCCTTTATTCTTTTAGCATGATTAATTGCATCAACTGATTTTGAATGCTAAAACAAACACATTTTTAGGGTAAATTGCACTTGGTCATGCAGTATTTTCCTTTCTATGTTTTGCTGAATTTTATTTGCTAGTGTTTTTTTTTAAATTTAATTTTATTATGTTATGTTAATCACCATACATTACATCATTAGTTTTTGATGTAGTGTTCCATGATTCATTGTTTGTGTATAACAACCAGTGCTCCATTCAATACGTGCCCTCTTTAATACCCATCACCAGGCTAAGCCCTCTCCCCACCTAGAACCCTCAGTTTGTTTCTCAGAGTCCATAGTCTCTCATGGTTCGTCTCCCCCTCCGATTTCCGCCCCTTCATTTTTCCCTTCCTACTATCTTCTTCTTCTTCTTCTTTTTTTTTTTTTTTAAAGATTTATTTATTTATTTGAGAGAGCAAGAATGAGAGAGAGTACATGAGAGCGGTGAGGGTCAGAGGGAGAAGCAGGCTTCTTGCTGAGCAGGGAGCCCGATGCGGGACTCGATCCCAGGACTCCAGGATCATGACCTGAGCCAAAGGCAGTAGCTTAACCAACTGAGCCACCCAGGCGCCCCCCCCCTTTTTTTTTAACATATAATGTATTACTTGTTTCAGAGGTACAGGTCTGTGATTCAACAGTCTTACACAAATCACAGCACTCACCATAGCACATACTCTCCCCAATGTCCATCACCCAGCTACCCCATCCCTCTCACCCCCCACCACTCCAGCAACCCTCATATTATTTCCTGAGATTAAGAATTCCTCCTATCAGTGAGATCAAATGATACATGTCTTTCTCTGATTAACTTATTTCACTTAGCATAATACCCTCTAGTTCCACCCACATCGTCCCACATGGCAAGATTTCGTGGGTTTTTTTTTGATGGCTGCATAATATTCCATTGTATATATATACCACACCTTCTTTATCCATTCATCTATGGATGGACATCTTGGCTCTTTCCATAGTTTGGCTACTGTGGACATTGCTGCTATAAACATTGGGGTGCATGTAGCCTTTCGGATCACTACATTTGTATCTTTGGGGTAAATACCCACTAGTGCAATTGCTGGGTTGTAGGGTAGCTCTATTTTCAGCTTTTTGAGGAACCTCCATACTGTTTTCCAGAGTGGCTGCACAAGCTTGCATTCCCACTAACAGTGTAGGAGGGTTCTCCTTTCTCCGCTTCCTCGCCAACATCTGTCGTTTCCTGACTTGTTAATTTTAGCCATTCTGACTGGTGTGAGGTGATATCTCATTGAGGTTTTGATTTGGATTTCCCTGATGCCGAGTGATGTTGAGCACTTTTTCATGTGTCTGTTGACCATTTGGATGTCTTCTTTGGAAAAATGTCTGTTCATGTCTTTTGCCCATTTCTTGATTGGATTCTTTGTTCTTTGGGTGTTGAGTTTGATAAGTTCTTTATAGATTTTGGATACTAGCCCTTTATCTGATATGTCATTTGCAAATATCTTCTCCCATTCTGTCGGTTATCTTTTGGTTTTCTTGACTGTTTCCTTTGCTGTGCAAAAGCTTTTTATCTTGATGAGGTCCCAATAGTTCATTTTTGCCCTTGCTTCCCTTGCCTTTGGCGATGTTTCTAGGAAGAAGTTGCTGCAGCTGAGGTCGAAGAGGTTGCTGCCTGTGTTCTCCTCTAGGATTTTGATGGATTCCTGTCTCATGTTTAGGTCTTTCAACCATTTTGAGTCTCTTTTTGTGTGTGGTGTAAGGAAATGTCCAGTTTCATTCTTCTGCATGTGGCTGTCCAATTTTCCCAACACCATTTGTTGAAGAGACTTTTTTCCATTGGACACCCTTTCCTGCTTTGTCGAAGATTAGTTGACCATAGAGTTGAGGGTCCATTTCTGGGCTCTCTATTCTGTTCCATTGATCTATGTGTCTGTTTTTGTGCCAGTACCATACTGTCTTGATGATGACAGCTTTGTAATAGAGCTGGAAGTCTGGAATTGTGATGCCGCCAGCTTTGCTTTTCTTTTTCAACATTGCTCTGGCTATTCAGGGTCTTTTCTGGTTCCATACAAATTTTAGGATTATTTGTTCCATTTCTTTGAAAAAAGTTGGTGGTATTTTGATGGGGATTGCATTAAATGTGTAGATTGCTCTAGGTAGCATTGACATCTTCACAATATTTGTTCTTCCAATCCATGAGCATGGAATGTTTCTCCATTTCTTCGTGTCTTCCTCAATTTCTTTCATGAGTATTTTATAGTTTTCTGAGTACAGATTCTTTGCCTCTTTGGTTAGATTTATGCCTAGTTATCTTATGGTTTTGGGTGCGATTGTAAATGGGATCGACTCCTTAATTTCTCTTTCTTCTGTCTTGTTGTTGGTGTATAGAAATGCAGTTAACTGATTTCTGTGCATTGATTTTATATCCTGCCACTTTACTGAATTCCTGTATGAGTTCTAGCAGTTTTGGGGTGGAGTCTTTGGGGTTTTCCACATAAAGTATCATATCATCTGCAAACAGTGAGAGTTTGACTTCTTCTTTGCCAATTTGGATGCCTTTTATTTCTTTTTGTTGTCTGATTGCTATGGCTAGGACTTCTAGTACTATGTTGAATAGCAGTGGTGATAGTGGACATCCCTGCCGTGTTCCTGACCTTAGGGAGAAAGCTCTCAGTTTTTCCCCATTGAGAATGATATTTGCTGTGGGTTTTTCATAGATGGCTTTTATGATATTGAGGTATGTACCCTCTATCCCTATACTGTGAAGAGTTTTGATCAAGAAAGGATGCTGTACTTTGTCAAATTTTATTAATGTGTTGTATCACATTGATTTGTGGATGTTGAACCAACCTTGCAGCCCAGGAATAAATCCCACTTGGTCGTGGTGACTAATCCTTTTAATGTACTGTTTTGCTAGTGTTTTCTTATGGAATTTTGCCATTGTTTTCCTAAAGAATGTTGGTCTTCATAAAGCTAAAAAGGACAAATTTGAATTCATACATTTGTAATGCCTACAACTAATGATTTGAAAAGCCATGAGGAAAGTGTTGAAAGTTTTGACAATTTGTATATATTTATATATAAAGAAAAACAAAGGCAAATTGTCACATAGATTAAATTCACACAGAATAAAACTAACTTTTTTTCCTTTCTCTTAGGTAGCAAAGTTATTCTCTGTCCAGGTAACAGAGATTTCTTTTATTAATAAGTTGTTCTTACTCTTTTATTAATAAATTGTTCTTACTCTGTGCTTTTTGAATACTCTTAAATTTCTTTGAAAGATTACTTATTCTTTCAAAGTTAAAACTATTAATAGTTATGGTTACTTATTTAAAAATATTGCATGTAATTATTTCTTATCTTTGGATATTAATGACTTATATGCTCTTATCTTTTCTGATAAGTCTGATTTTGCCTTTCTCAAAATCAAACCTCAAATTTATAATAAAATTATTAAGATGGCCTTTATGTTTGAATAATCTTTTGAGTTTCCTGGTAAGGCCACCAGGAAACATAAAGATTTCCTCTTCCTTTATCCATAAAAAAGAAAGTGAATAGAAATAATTATTTCTTGGCGCTCTCTATATTTTAATTAATTCAAAACTGTTGTGAGAGCTCTTTTGTTTACCAAACACAGAATAAAGGAATGATACATGGAATCAACTCAAAAGAAAATTTCAGTCTTCCTAGGCTATCTATGTTAATATAAATAGATCTTGATGACCGTGTATCTTTCATACTAAAAGAAACATTATCATGTGCATGTACAAAAGCTGACAGTATTTACAGAATGTTTTATTTCTCGGTTTTAATACTCTTGTCAATCAGGGACAATCATAATACAATTTTATGGGATAAATTAAAGTCCTAGGGTTTTGTCAATTTTCTCACTTTTCATAGTATATCATCTTTTTCCCAGCATAATCAGTGCCTAAATCTTTATAAAATTGATTACATATTATAGCTTAGTAGAAGGTTCCATTCTCCTCCATTCTGATATTTTGATAATTGTCTGATAAATTGTCTGATAATTGTCTGATAAATTAACAGACAATTTGTTTTTATCATTCACAGGGGCTTCTACTGCTTCCTTATATTCACCTAACTGTCTCTGATGTAAGATTAAGAACTGGAATGTGTCTTCCGGAAGGAACACTAAAAGGATCTGAGTAAGGGACTGTAACAAGTGTTCTTTCTCTTTCTCCCTCCCTTTTAGGATGCTCACTTTTGGAAAACTATGACCATGTTGTGAGGAAGCTGGGCTATGTATAGGTGCTCTGGTCAGCATCTTCAGCTAATGTCTCAGCCCATGGCCAGCATTAACCACTGGGCAAGTGAATGAGCAAGCTTTCAGATGATTCCAGTCCCCATCCTTCAAGTTGTCCCACCTAATGCCCAGTAAAGTGGAGATGAGTTGTCTTTGCCAAGATCTGTTCAGATTTCAGATTCATGAGGAAATTAGATATCTTTTCGAGCCACTAAATTTTGGAACAATTTGTTATGCATATCATCATATCAAATTGATTTTAGTTCTGGAACACAGTAGCTGGAACAGATAATATAGCGAATACATTTATAGGTATCACTGAAATCATCACCACCAACAGTGACTGAGTCAAGATTTCCAGAGCTATTTGAGTTCAGAAGCAGGAAACAACAGCAACAGGTTGCTTTCTTCCCATATTATTGGCATAAGTCTCCCAGATCCCAAGAGCCAGTGCTTGCCATGAGCTTCTTTGCATGTTTTTATGTTTTATCCTTTTTTTTTTTAAAATCATACCTTTGTAGGAAACTCTGTTCTTTAGTTACAGTACTCCCAAACTCTTTATCCTTAACAATTATAAGATATGCGACCCATTTTTCAAATGCAGCAAAGTTATCTTGGGATTGGATATTTTCTACTGGGAATTTATAAAGTGAATCATCTACAAATTGACTGAAAGTTGAACATCTAGATGAAGAGTTGGGAATTAGAACTTTTGGATAGATTTACCCTAATTTTATCTTGTGGAGGAAATGGGGGAATTTTCCCCGCTGTGTGTTGATGTGACAGATTACAATCTTGTTCACAGTGAATGAATGTAGAGCACACCTGTAGCACCTTGTGTGGTTGGTTTATCCCTTCCTTCATTCATTGTTTTCACTGCATAAGAAATCTTTTGGTTGCAAGTGAGAGGAAATATAATTCAAACTAGCTTAAACAATCGAGGGAATGATATGTCACCTTAACAGATAATCAGATCTAGAAGTTAGGAATGTATGTGTTCCAATCCAGTTGGAAGCTCTGTCTATTGACCCATTATAGCTCCAGGCTCTGCCTTTTAGGTAACAAAATGACTGCTTTGGAAACAAACTGAGTGTTGTTGGAGTGGGGGTTGGGGTGGGAGGGATGGGGGGACTGGGTGATAGACACTGGGGAGGGTATGTGCTCTGGTAAGCGCTGTGAATTGTGCAAGACTGTTGAATCTCAGATCTGTACCTCTGAAACAAATAATGCAATATATGTTAAGGAAAAAAAAAAAGAAGAAGAAGAAGAAGGTAGCGGGAGGGGAAGAATGAAGCGGGGGAAATAGGAGGGGTAGACGAACCATGAGAGACGATGGACTCTGAAAAACAAACAGGGTTCTAGAGGGGAGGGGGGTGGGAGGATGGGTAAGCCTGGTGGTGGGTATTGAGGAGGGCACATTCTGCATGGAGCACTGGGTGTTATGCACAAACAATGAATCATGGAACACTTCATCTAAAACTAATGTTGTAATGTATGGGGATTAACATAAGAATAAAAAAATGAAAGAAGAAAAAAAAATGACTGCTTTAATTCGAGGTTTCATAATCTACCAACTAGGGGGGAGAGAGAGAAAGCTACTTCACAGGAGTGTTCGATAAAATCTTTTCACATCTCTTTGTTTCTAAGTAACATGGTCATATTTAAACCAATCACTGTGGACAAAGTGGATATGGAATGCTGATTGACTTAAGCCAAATACTCCTCTCCTGGAATTGGTAATGCATTGGGGTCAAGGCCATCTACACCATATGACTGAGACTGGGAGATGGAGGCTGTCAAAGAACTTTGGGGATACCAAGGAATACATTTCAGAGAGGGAGCGAATACATGTCTATATATCTACTGAGTATTTACCCTGTACCTGGCACTGTGGTGGTAAATGCTATATGTTTGGCAGCCCTGCTGGCTCTTTTCCTATTTTACAGGTAGAATCTTGAAAACGAGAATGCAGGCAAGGTAGGAAGGGGATATTCTTGTATGTATGTATGTATGTATGTATTATTTTTCTGAGTATGCTAAGGAAGACATATTGCTAGCATTATCCTGAATATTGTTGAGAAGAAATAAGCTTGCCTGTAATTTAGAATAGTCTTTCACGTGATTTTTGTTAACATGGGCAGCTACCTTATGTTAGGTGTTTGCTCAAATAAGTCCCTTGGGAAGCCACCTTTTCTCTAATTAGGCAGTGCTGTTTCCTTCCATATGGAATACAGTTTAAGGGAGAATGGATTTTGAGCATTCCTGAACAAAGTGAGAACTTTTGAACATGACATAGAGAAAAATATTTATTATTATTATTATTTTTAATTTAAATTCAATTCGCAACATATAGCACATCATTATTTTTTGGTGTAGTGTTCAATGATTCATTAGTTGCATGTAATAACCAGTGCTCATCACATCACGTAAAACTCACATGTTGAAGTCTTAACATCTTATACCTAGGAATATGACTGTATGTAGAGATAAGGCCTTTAAAAAGGTGATGAAGTGAAAATGAGGTGGGCCCTACTATAATCTGACTGGTATCCACACAGAGACACCAGGGATGCATGCACAGAGGAAAGACCATGCGAGGATACGACAGGAAGGCGCCCATCTGCAAGCCAAGTGGAGAGGCCTCAGAAGAAACCAAACCTGCCGACTGACACCTTAATCTCGGACTTCCAGGCTCCAGCTAACGAGCAAATAAATTTCTGTTATTTAAGCTGCTCGGTCTGTGGCACTTTATTATGGCAGCTCTAGCAAAGAATATAATCTTCTATAAATGTGTATCTAAAGCCAGGTTACTTTCTTGTGCGTTTATCAAGGTCAGGGAATAAGGTGGGTTCATCGGTGCTTCCTCATCATCCGACTAGAATCCAGCCCCGAGAAGGTGCATGGGAAGTGTTTGTTGAATTGAACTGAAATGAATAAACACACGCTGTTTTGATCATGGCAGGGGCAGAGTGGCTGGCTGCCAGCCTGGCTCTTTCTGGCTTCCACCTGAAATTTCCAGACTCTTGTTTGGTTCTTCATAAGTGAAAATGGCTGTTTTTGTTCTTTCTGATTATAAAGACAGATGTAAAAACATACACATATAGAAATGCATGTTCATCGTAAAAATAACCTGGTAATGCACTAAAGTATGAAAAAGAAAGTAAAATTCACTCAGAATTCCCCCACCCAAAGTAACCACTATTTAAACTTTGACGTATGTATATTTTTCAAGGCTTTTTTTTGGGAGGCAGGGATCATACCAGTATGGTTATTCATTTCTCTCTCTCTAACAAATAAATGATATGATTATATAGCATTTGTTATTTTGTAAAATATTTTTTCCATATAATTTGAATATCTTTCATACTGGAAAATAAAGGTAGATTTATAGTAGCGATTTCTAGTGGTTGACTTATATTTCATTTAAGGAATGTGTAATAACTTATTTAAGCCTAGTCCCAACTATGGATAGTTAGATTGCTTCTAGGGTTTTCCTCATGTGAATAGTGCTGTAAGGATTTAGTCTTTTTGCTGTGGTTCTTATCTCATTATCCCTCTTTCTACTTGCAAACTCTTTACTTGCTAAAGACAGGAAAGATATACAACAGCATGCCCTTCAACCCTTGTGGGGGAATTGTAGAACTGGTAACGTAGACACAGAGGTCATGTAGATGCCTTTAGAGGAAATCCTTGCAGAATTCCCTTGGTTGGGATTTCTCCATCTGCTCTCTGGAACCAAAACGTCTCCCGTGAACTCTAGGCTCAGAGCATCAAATCACCTCCCTGACGTCTCCACTTTGGATATATAGCTTCAAAATGTCCACACCAGATTTCTCTCCTGGAACATGTCTTTCCCTGACAGATCTTCCCCATCTCAGGCAATAGCACCGTTGTTCACCCAGTTGCTGACGTCAGGGACAGAGGTTAGAACTGTCCTTACTTTCCACATCCGTTCCATTGATGAGTCTCTGTTGATTTTATCTCCCAACTCACCTCCACCCTGCCCCCGTCCATTCTCCACTGTTCATTTTTGCAGCATACTCTCACTGCTTGCCTAGATTATGACATCAGCCTTCTTGCTGAGCTCACACCCTCCTCTCCTGCTTCTTCCTGACACAGAGTGATCATGCCACACCCCACAGATAAATGCCTCAGTGGCTCCCCTTTATACTTCGCAAGGAAAAGTTCTAACTCCTTGCCTTGGTCTACAAACTCAATGTGATTGCGTTTATTTATGTTCAACATCACTTTGCACCCCTTTCCCCCTTATCACTCTACTCCAGCCCCACTCTTTTATGGTTTCTGTAAGGTCCCCCACTTTTTTTCACCTGAGGCCTGGTACAGGAGCTGTTCCCTCTTCCTGGACTGCTCTTCTTTCCACCCTGTTGGGCTTAGCTTCTTTCCATCCCCTAACCTGCAGCTTCAAGGTGACCTCTACAGAGAGACTTTTTCTGAGCATTTAATCTAAAGTGTGTCCCCCTCCCCTTAATTTTTTTTTAACTTAATTAGCCATGTGACCTGAGGCAAGTTATTGATTTCTCTGAGTGTCTGTTTCACCATCTGTAATGTGGGGTAAATAACATCTATCTTGAAACGTTTTGAGGATTAGTGATTACCTATGACAAGTAGCTGATATAGGGCCTAGCATACAGCTGGCACTCAAGCCCCACCCCTGGCCCCCCCTTTCCTAGCTTCTTTCTCCCATCCTCCTAGCCCATGATGCCAATTCTGGCCTACACTTGCATGGGCTATTTCAGGCTGTTCTTTCTCTCCTGATCTGAGCTGACTTCTTTAACTTCCTGAGTTTCTGTTTTCTTTTTGGCCCATATCCTTTAAACAAAAAACTCTTTTGACTGCCTCTGGTTTACACATCTGAGCCACTTTGATGTATTTCTTTCTGGCATAAGAGACGTTTGTTCACTTTTGTAAGTAAGATGCATGCCATAGTTTTTTTTTCAAAGACCCCTATCGTCCTTTCTAGAGAAGATGCTGGCCTGATCTCCCCAAAGATGGTGTACAGTGTGGATGGCTTTCATTACATCCACATGCAAAGGATGTTCTTACAATAAGGGACATTTCTTGCCCAATTTTAAGGCTGTAACATTGTTTTATACTGCAAATGGAATATAACATAATGGCCCTCTGTGTTAATCTTTTTTTGCAATGACTTCTTAAATGCACAATCTATTTTTTTCAAGGTTACAATTAGAATTACATGACCATAGGACTTTTCTGGAAGGCATAAAACTGTTTTCTGGAGCCCAGCCCCCTCAGACACCTTGGCATGAATAATTTGAAGAATGGCTGGGATCCCATATGTTTCTTCATTCCTCCTAGACAGCACTGACATTTGGGAATTTATTCTTAGAGTTTGCTTCTTTGAACATGTTTGGTTCAATTAGTCTACTGAAGCTGAGGTGGCATAAACTGTTTTTTAAAGAAGTGGTGCCATATTCAGAACAGGATGTTTGAGACACAACAGATGGGTTTGTGATCAGGCTAGCTTGCCATTTATCAAATTTAGAGTAAACTTAGTGGATCCACAGCACCTAACCCAGTTCTTGAAGAAGTAGAAGCTCAAGAAATGCTGATCACAAGAAAGAATGAATCATAAACAACTAAAGGCTGGAACTCTATTGACGCCTTGGGGAAAGGAGAAAATTTAAATGAGTTGGAGATGATTTAACCTTAGAGTGTCAGATGTACTATAGAGTGAGTAACTTGCTAATTTTCTTTCCTGAGATTAAAAGGTCAGAACTGCTTTACATGATAGTAACTACCATTTATGAGGACCCAGTGTAATGGGTATCTATTGTTTTTGTTTGTCCTGCTTCTCTGTTCTTTTTGGGGTACTGGTAGTCAGTGAGAAGATCAAACATGGTCTTGCCCAGCACATGCCCCAGGATGAGCCACTTCCTATACCATATCCCCTATGCAGCTGTTCTTGGTGCCATAGGTAGGGCCCGTTGGGGGCTTCCTCTGGACTGGTGTTGAGATTTTGAGAATAAAGCTTTCTATTTGAACTGGGATTGCTAAACTCAGAATTGGTGAATCTAGACACTAGCATGTGGGTAACTGTTTGATGGCTAACTCTGGTTGACTTTTAAAAATGCATATATATGTATGTATATATATACACATTTAGATTTATTATACATTCTGTTGATGTAAAATATGTGTAGCATATAATTTTCAAGTAATATTAAAATGTTCAACACTCTTTATTATAAATTCCATGTAGCTTGTTGATTCTCACAGGATACTTTCATGGATTTTTGCTTAACTCTTGAGTTTGTGGTCGAACTATGATTGTCATTGATGACAGGGTAGTTCTAACATGAATATTGGTTGCTATTTTCACTTATCTTGATGAAAAAGAAAAAAATAGATATAAGCTAGAATTTACATGCTTGCCAATGATGTGACTATTTTGTTGAAGGTGGAGGAAGCCAGTGAATAGAGTTCTCTTTTCTTTAGGTCAAAAGCTTAGTCATCTTACAGAAGCTGATCTATTCACTACTAAGTAACCCTATATTTGCTGAGAATGCAGGCTGAGGAAGTTGCCTTGCAGTCAGACAGAACTGGGCTTGAATCCCGCCTGGGAGCAAGTCACTTTTAACATCTCTTGGTTTATCAGAAAAAAAGAGAACAAAGAAAAACAGGCATCCCGCCATCTTATAGATTGTTCCGAGGATTAAATGAGACAACATTTAACAACCAAACACTTCACCTATAAAATGGAGGCAATACCCCCTGTGTGCAGCCATTTTAAGAAATGGAAGTAAGAAAGTGCTATAAATAAGCAGGGCCTCCACATGTCAGAACTGTTTGGTGGTACAAAAACGCAGGTCCATCCATCTAGCTAGAGCAAAAAAAGGAAACTGAGAAAATCCCTGGGCAGAATCCCTTCTGTTGGTCCCTGCAATTAGGGTTTCCCCTGGCAAGTGGCCTTTGTTCTGAAGACAGGCCCTCTCCACCCAGCAACAGCCCGATGTTCTGTGGTGTGCCAGAACCACCTTGTACCTGCTTGTGAGAGCCAACTTTTAAAATTTCAGGGATCTTGTGAGTGCGTTGTGAAATGTAGTCACTAATAAAGATTAAATTATATTAATTTGCAATTAATTAAATTGTATTAAAAATGAACATAGTCAATACCCAAAACTCATCACTTCCTAAATTATGTTACTACCTTTTGCTATTATATACATTCTTAGCATTATTTATGACTATTAGATCTGTAAGGTGGAAGTTCTGTATAATGGTATGCTAGCGTGCATCAATTTCCAACCCCACGTTTAGTGATGTCGCATTAGAAACTTGGTCAGCTATGGAAATCAGCTAATGCTACAAATCAGGGTTTGATTTATTGCTTTGTTGATTATAGAAACTTAACAGAGTGATGGAGAAAATGCAGATTATAAATAATGCAGATTAAATTTAAAAGTGTTTATGTCTACAGCTATCACATTCATTGTAAGTAGCAACAAAACATTTGAGGAAACAGTCTTCCAGTAGTCTCAATCATATGAATTATGAATAATTTTTCTCATTCCTTTAAATTCCTCTTCAACTATGTTATGCTTTTTATGTGTGTGCAGGTGATAGAGTTGATGTTCTCAAAACTGCTTTTCCTTGTCATTTATAATTTCCTCTGTTTTAAAAATAATTTAGAAACCTATTTTAAATAATTGTTACATGTTTAACTTAGTAGCATATTTGGAATTTATT